AGCAGGGGGAACAAGCCTGCCTTTTAGTTACACAAAGCCACAGGTTTTCATAGTGCACCATTACGACCTTCTAGCCGCAGGAGTCCTGACAGCCAATAACATCATCAGTTCATAAGGAGGTTGTCAGCCGCCTGCACAGCATCCTAGTTTGATCATCCCCTGCCTCTCTCTGTCAATGCTGGAGTCACATTAGCTCAGTGATGGAGAAAAACTGAGGGAGAAGAGAAACATTGGAATACTAGTCATTACCAGTGTGCAGAAGTGTATATCCTTTGGAAGAATAAATCACCTCTAATGTTGGGTGTCCTACATGTGTGGATGTTGGTGTGTTATATAAATCTATTAGAATAGTTTTCTCATTTTAGAATGGGGTGCCGCAAGACTGCCCATAATTGTAAAGGGTGCCTCGGGACTGCCCATAATCGTAAAGGGTGCCTCGTGACTGCCCATAATTGTAAAGGGTGCCTCGGGACTGCCCATAATTGTAAAGGGTGCCTCAAGACTGTCCATAATTTTATAGGGTGCCACGGGACTGCCCATAATTGTAAAGGGTGCCTCGGGACTGCCCATAATTGTAAAGGGTTCCTCGGGACTGCCCATAATTGTAAAGGGTGCCTCGGGACTGCCCATAATTGTAAAGGGTGCCTCGGGACTGAGCATAATTGTAGAGGGTGCCTCGGGACTGCCCATAATTGTAAAGGGTGCCTCGGGACTGCCCATAATTGTAAAGGGTGCCTCGGGACTGCCCATAATTGTAAAGGGTGCCTCGGGACTGCCCATAATTGTAAAGGGTGCCTCGGGACTGCCCATAATTGTAAAGGGTGCCTCGGGACTGCCCATAATTGTAAAGGGTGCCTCGGGACTGCCCATCATTGTAAAGGGTGCCTCGGGACTGTCCATAATTGTAAAGGGTGCCTCGGGACTGCGCATAATTGTAAAGGGTGCCTCGGGACTGCCCATCATTGTAGAGGGTGCCTCGGGACTGCCCATCATTGTAAAGGGTGCCTCGGGACTGCCCATAATTGGAAAGGGTGCCTCGGGACTGCCCATAATTGTAGAGGGGTGCCTCGGGACTGCCCATAATTGTAAAGGGTGCCTCGGGACTGTCCATAATTGTAAAGGGTGCCTCGGGACTGCCCATAATTGTAAAGGGTGCCTCGGGACTGCCCATAATTGTAAAGGGTGTCTCGGGACTGCCCATAATTGTAGAGGGTGCCTCGGGACTGCCCATAATTGTAAAGGGTGCCTCGGGACTGCCCATAATTGTAAAGGGTGTCTCGGGACTGCCCATAATTGTAAAGGGTGCCTCGGGACTGCCCATAATTGTAAAGGGTGCCTCGGGACTGCCCATAATTGTAAAGGGGGCCTCGGGACTCTCCATAATTGTAAAGGGTGCCTCGGGACTGCCCATAATTGTAAAGGGTGCCTCGGGACTGTCCATAATTGTAAAGGGTGCCTCGGGACTGCGCATAATTGTAAAGGGTGCCTCGGGACTGTCCATAATTGTAAAGGGTGCCTCGGGACTGTCCATCATTGTAAAGGGTGCCTCGGGACTGCCCATAATTGTAGAGGGTGCCTCGGGACTGCCCATAATTGTAAAGGGTGCCTCGGGACTGCCCATAATTGTAAAGGGTGCCTTGACTGAAAAAAGATTGACAAACACTGCATTAGTTCATTCATTTAACCACTTCCAGTCTGGAAACTTTCACCCCCTTCCTGTCCAGGCCAATTTTCAGCTTTCAGCGCTGTCACACTTTGAATGACAATTGCGCAGTCATGCAACACTGTACCCATATGAATTTTTTAGCAGATAAAACTTTATTTTGGTGGTATTTATTCACCACTGGGATTTTTATTTTTTTGCTACATAAATGAAAAAGTCCAAACAGTTTGAAAAAAAAATGTTTTTTCTTATAAAATTTTGCAAATGAATAATCTTTCTTCATAAATCTTGGCCAAAATGTATTCAGCTATCTTTTTAGTAAAAAAAAAACAAATTAGTTTATAAACAAAATTTACAATTTTTCAACATTTTTTTACATTTTTTTTTTTTTTTTTATATTATCATTTATGTTTTTTGTTTACATACTGTCACCCTAGCAGTGACACTGTGGTGACACTGTACTTCTTGTGGGGGGTGATGAAGATTTCTTTTTTTACACCCATAAAGGCCGTAAAAGCAATAATTTCTCCTTCTCTCTTGCTGTATTCCTGCAGCCATTGAGAAATACTGTGAGAGCTGTGATTGGTCACAGCTTGTCACATGGTACAAGGCTGTTGTGAATAGCCTTGTACCATGTGACCTCAGTGATCATTCACAGATTTCAAACTTAGTAAACAATGATGTCAGGAAGTGACATCTTGTTTACTACTATTTATGTGATCACTGAATAGTAATATTAATATAAATGGCTAGTGCTTCTGCCTGGCAGTACTAGGGTCGTTGGTTCGAATCCCAACCACGGCACCACCTGCCTGGAGTTTGCATGTTCTCCCTGTGCATGCGTGGGTTTCCTCCGGGTACTCCAGTTTCCTCCCACAATCAAAAGACATGTTGTTATGTAAATTGGCTCCTGTCTAAATTGTCCCTAGTATGTATATGTATGAATGTAAGTTAGTGACCTTAGATTGTACACCCTTGAGGGTTAGGGACTGATGTGAATGTACAATATATATTTAAAGTGCTGCGTAAATTGACAGCGCTATATAAGTACCTGAAATAAATAAAATCACTGATTCATGTGATCACACAGAGGTCTTGTACAGCGATCTGTGTTCGAAGGACACAAACAACAAAAGGTATACCGCTCAGGCAAACAATCCAGATCAATCCACGACAGGTGCAGGCTCTGGCTCACCACCACACACGATGCAACAGGAAGAAGAGTCAGCCGCACACCGGAGGATAGATGAATATAGTGTGTATTTATTAATCCATAGGACACACAAAACACCAGGACATAAATACAGGACTCGAAGGACACAACAGGCACTGATCGCGGTGTAGCGCGCTCCCAGGGAGCGCGCACAAGCAATAAATGCGGGGTGACATCAACCCACTTTTGGCAGCGCTCCCCTCTGGCCTTTTATCTACATGAGTAGTGGTTAATTAATGAACTGCAAAAAAAAAAAATAATAATAACTGCACTGAAAATAAAAAAAGTAATTAAAAATTAAAATAAAGAATTAAAAACATTAAATGTGCATTTATTAACCGTTTGACTGCCAAAACAGTTTTTGCGTGTTTTTTTTTTTTTTGGCACACACGGTTAACCACATGCCCTCCAGAGGATATACCCCCCTTCCTGACCAGGACATTGTTTGCGATACGGCGCTGCGTTATGTTAACTGACAATTGCACGGTCATGCAATGTTGTACATAAATTACATTTATGTCCTTTTTTCCCCACAAATAAAGATTTCTTTCAGTGGTATTTGATCACCTGTACGTTTTTTTATTTTTTGCACTTTAAACAAAAGAAGACCGACAATTTTGAGAAAAAAAAAACAATATTTTTGACTTTTTGCTGTAAGACATATCCAATAAAAAGATTTTTTAAAAAATCAAATTTCTTCATACATTTAGGCCAAAATTCTGCTACATGTCTTTGCTATAAAAAAAATCCCAATAAGTGTATAGTAACTACTTGCCCTCCAGAGGATTTACCCTCCTTCCTAGCCAGGCCATTTTTTGCGATACGGCGCTGCGTTGCTTTAACTGACAATTGCGCGGTCATGCAATGCTGCACCCAAATGAAATTTTTCCCACAAATAGAGCTTTCTTTCAGTGGTATTTGATCACCTTAGGCTAAAATTCTGCTACATGTCTTTGCTAAAAAAAAATCCCAATAATTCTATATTAATTGGTTTACGTGAAAGTTATAGTGTCTACAAATGATAGCATATATACTGGAATTTTTATTTTTAATTTTTTTTATACTAGTAATGGCAGTGATCAGCGACTTATTGCGGGACAACGGCAAGCATTCTGACACTGGGTGGGAACTGATCAACTGTCACTGATATCACCAGTGGCACTATTACTGTGATCAGTGCTAATAAAAAGCACTGAAACTGGGCAGGAAGGGGTTAACATCTGGGGTGATCAAAGGGTTAACTGTGTGCTGTGTTTTACTACAGAGACATGTTGCTGTGTATTTCTCTGCTGTGCAGAGAGATACAAAACAGCATGTCTATGATGACAGGAGAGAGACCTGTGTGGTTTACACACAGCTCTTCCTTGTCAGCTTTCTCTGATGATCGCCAGCCGGGAATCACTGGACTGGACCCAGTGATTGACATCTCTAGCCACCAATAGCAGTGCGGGTAAGGCAGCACACACACGCTCCCTACCTGGAAATGCAAATAATGTATATATATATGTGATTTTGCGCATCCCTGCCACTCTGTAGCAGTAATTCTGCTATAAGGCAGAGGGCAAGTGGTTAAAAAGTTATTTTAACCTCTTGGCGCCGATGCCTCCCAGCCTTTTAAGGGGTTTCAAAGGCAAGAAGGCCAAGTTTCTGATCATGTGACCGCCATGATTGGCTGTCACAGCAATCACATGATCAGAAAGCTCCTGAACACAAGTAGAGATCAGGAGTAGGGGTGCCACCTCATCCCTTTAAATCTGAACACATATTAATTACACAGGTCCTGTGGCCTATTAAGGTGGTGATTAACCACTTGCCTACCAGATACTTTCACCCCCTGTTGCCCAGGCCAATTTTCAGCTTTCAGCGCTGTCGCACTTTGAATGACAATTTCGCAGTCATGCAACACTGCACCCATATGAACTTTTTACCATTTTTTTGAGACAGAGCTTTCTTTTGGTGGTATTTAACCACTTGCCTACCGGGCACTTATACCCCCTTCTTTACCAGGCCAATTTTCAGCTTTCAGCGCTGTCGCACTTTGACAATTGTACGGTCATGCAACATTGTACCCATATGCAATTTTTATAATTTTTTCTGACAAATAGAGCTTTCTTTTGGTGGTATTTAATCACCGCTGGGCACTTTACATTTTGCGCTATAAACAAAAAAAAAGTGCAAAAAATTTGAAAAAAAAAAAAAAGTTTCTTTGTTTTTATTATAAAATTTTTCAAACAGGTAATTTTTCTCCTTCACTGATGTGCGTTGATGAGGCAGCACTGATGGGCACTAATAGGCGGCACTGATAGGTGGCACTGACTGGCATCACTGCTAATGAGGTGTCACGGATAGGCGGCACTGATAGGTGGCACTGATAGACAGCACTGACTGGCATCACTGCTGGGCACTGACTGGCGGCACTGATAGCCATTGAAGTGCACAACTGCTGGGCACTGACTGGCACAACTGCTGGGCACTGACTGGTGGCACTGACTGGCAGCACTGATGGGCACAGGTGGGTGGCACTGGTGGGCACAGGTGGGTGGCACTGCTGGGCACAGGTAGGTGGCACTGCTGGGCACAGGTAGGTGGCACTGCTGGGTGGCACAGGTGGGTGCACTGCTGGGCACAGGTGGGCGGAACTGGTGGGTGGCACTGCTGGACACCGATCATCAGTGCCCTGATGATCGGTGCTGATCCCTGCTCTGACAACTGCCGGTTCTCCAGTACTTTCCTCACGCTCTGACAGCGAGAACTGGCAATTGCATTTCCCGGTGATCTGCGTGTCATTGGACATGGCTGATCACGTGGTAAAAGGCTGCTGTGATTGGCCTTTTACCACATCACGTGATCAGCTGTGTGTAGGACACAGCGATCACGGAGATCGCCAGGTGCGCGCCCCCCGGGGGCGCGCAGGAGAGCGCGTTCTGGGAGGATGTCATATGATGCCCTCCCAGAACTGGCCAGCCGCAGTGTAGCCGTCATTTGGCTATCTGCGGTTGGCAAGTAGTTAATCATCACTGTTATAAAATTTGTAAATGAGTAATTTTTCTCCTTCACTAATGTGTGCTAATGAGGCTGCAGTGATGGGCACTCATAGGCTGCACTGATGGACACTGACAGGTGGCACTGATGGGCATTGATGAGTAGGCACTGGTAGGTGGCACTGATGGGCATTGACAGGCATCACTGGTGGGCATTTACAGATATCACTAGTGGGCACTTAAAGTCAGCACGCACTTATGGCACTGATAGGCAGCACTGACAGGCAGCACTGACTGGCACTGATAGGCGACACTGACTGGCACTGATAGGCAGCACTGACTGGCACTGATAGATGGCACTGATGGGCACTGATAGGCGGCAGTGACTGGCACTGATAGGTGGCACTGATTGGCAGCACTCGTAGGCGGCACTGACTGGCACTGATAGTTGGCACTGAAAGGCAGCTCAGATGGGCACTGATATGTGGCATTGGTGTGCACTGGTAGGCACTGATATGTGGCATTGATGTGTACCAATTGGCACTGACAGGTGGCATTGATGGGCAATGACAGGTGGCACTGATTGGGGCTACACTGATCATCAGTGCCCTGATGATCAGTGTAGATGTCCTCTCTGAGGAATGCCGATTACCGTCTTTCCTCTCCTCATGAGCTGTCAGGGTGATGTTGCATGATTTAAAAATCGGGGGACCTGCCGATTTCAGGTGCAATTTGCAAGACATCTGATACAGATGTCTATGCAAATCGCACCAAAAATAGTGCATGTACTACTTTTGAAACTGGTGCAGCTCTGGTAAAGTCGGAACCGCACCGATATGACCGCTCCATTTGCGGACAATAGAGTGCGATTTGGCATGCAATTTGCAAATCGCAGGGCATGCAAATCGCATACCAAGTCGCATCCAGTGTGAACCAGGGCTAAAGGAATGAGGTGGCAACCCTAATCGGAAGCTTTCCATTAGCCGCTGATAACTGTGCTGGGAGCGTGCAGGGAGCGTTTTTCTTTAGGTACACATATATGGAGCCACTTGGCCACTAAGGCCCACCCACTGAGAGGCCGCATATATGCGTCCAGCTGGCGGGAAGGTGTTAAAGATGGAAACATAGAAAAGTGATGACAGAAAAAAGACCAAGTGACCCCTCCATGGAGTCTGCCCATTTTTTTTTTTTGTTTTTTTTTGTTTTTCTGTATACATATTTTTTGTTTGTTTGTTTTTTTTTTTTTTGTTTACTTTTTTTGTCTGGGAATAGATCTCTGTTTGTCCCAAGCATGTTTGAAATTTTAGGACTGAAGATTAGTTAAAATTTTATATATAAGAATAATGTTATATATTTTCTGAAAGCAGACATCCTGGAGAATAATAAATCGTGGTAGTTCCAATTTTTTTGCCGAACGATCTATGCACAACAGTTTGTCAAGTGCAGTTATAAGTGATTGGATGGAACTGTATTTTTTGAAGTTCGTTTATATCTGCTCACCCATAGACTTGCATGGAGCTCCTGATCAGATCTGCCTGAATAACTGACAGGTGGACCCAATCAGAGAGCTTGTGTGAAAGGGGCATAAGGCCTCTTTCACACGAACGTTCCGATCGGGTCCGCCTGCCCATTTTTTCTATTCTAATGTATTCTATTCTAATGTATTCTATTCAAATTTGAATTTATTCTATTCAAAATTCGAATTTTGGAAATCAGTTATATTCTTTCTATTTTAGTCTATTCTATTGTTTTTTCTATTCTTTTCTATTCTAATCTACTCTATTCTTTTATATTCTATTCAGATTCAAATTGATTCAAATTTAGTTTCGTTATTTCAAATTTGTTACTATTGTAACTCAGAAATTCGAAGATATCCGAATTACCGAATAACGAAAAATTGTTCCGAATTCAAATTCAGAAAGAAATGAACTGCACATGTCTATGCCGCTGTCCAAGGGTAACTCTGTTGCTCCTCCATAGATAGAAGGATCACCCTAAGACAGGAGGTGTGTTACTGGGCAGATCACCAGGTGAAAATAAAGGGAAAAGAATAAAACTAATGCAGCCACAGCATCTAAGGATTGGTGAGCTGCAAAATGTATTACATGTTTGTTTTGGGTTTAAATTTGCTTTAATTTTTTGAATTGGCCCCTTCTAAGAATTGCATCTGTTCTGCAGACTATTCCTCCTGCCGTAGGTCCATGCTGAGGTACAGACCTTCTGTTTCGGGGCTGGAGGAAGGGTCAATGGCCTATAAGTGCAGTGACATCCTTCCATTTACTATCCTTATTGATATCTATGAGTCCCCCTGTTGCAGTGGCAGATGGACTTGCAATCTCTCCATTCACAGATCTCTGTGAATAGATGACATGGTTCTGTTGGTACACCCTCACACGATCATGACAAATTAAAAAAATTAGACTGCAGTACCCCTGAATTTAATATAGTTGTGGACCATATTTCATGTTGTATGAGTGTGGGCAGTTGCCATACATGGATAGGGAGATTGCGCTTGCTAGTGTCCCCCAGAGGGTGGCTGAGGCTGCTACTTAATGCAAATGGAATCAGCAAATGAGCATAATGCAAATGAGGCATCCCTTCATCTGAAAAGTGACACTTCTCCACATAGACATTAGATAAAAGACACGTAAACCCAACATTTCATATCCGTGTCCTTTGTGTGAAATCCCTTACCAATCTGGTCACCACCACCAAATAGACACACCTTCAAGGCTTACCAGAGGGGATGACATTCCTTTTTAAGAGATGTCATATAGCTCTCTATACAATTATAATTGATGTTCCTCCATACTCCCCACTCGCATCTACTAGATTGGCAAAAATAGGGAAAATATCGCTTTAAACCTCCATCTCCAACATTCACTCACATTAACATGTTAAAAGAGAAAGGGGAACACGTGCCCCATATAGTGTAAAACCGTATAATTTTATTCTTACAGTGGTTGTAAAGGCATTCTATACATGAAGGTAAAAAAAACCTTCCCTGTTCAGCAGCCCCCCTAATGCTCACCTAAGCCCGCTCTCAATCCAGCGGTGTACACTGGAGTCTTGACTATCCCAGAACTTCCTCTCCTCATTGGCTGTCAATCACAGCCAGTGAGAAGAGAGAGAGGACGGGTCCAAGCCATGCTTCTGTGTGTGAATGCTATAAAATGCAAATGCAGAAAAACGCAAAAAAAGCTGCTAAACACTAATGCAAAAACTCTGAAAACCGCACGTTTTTAACAACGACTTTACACAGCTAATGCTACCAACATTATTAAAACACCCAGTGTGCATGGAGCCTAATGCACACTGTGAAAAGTTCACAGTGTGCTTGGAAATCAGAGTAAACAAATTAGTACAGGAGAGGAGCCTGTACAAGTATGCAAGACTGAAGGTATGCATGAAGTTTTAAAGTTTATGTCCAGCCCAAACTATTTGTTTCAGTTTTACATGGGGCGGGGGGGGGGGGGGGGGGGGGGGGGGGGGGGGGGGTTAGAAAAACTGTTATTCATTGGTTTCTCTATACAGGAGTTAAGGGAGAATCTGCAGTAGGGACCCAGACAGAAATTTTGTCTGGTGATTGTAATCAGTCCTCTATATCCTTTCATTAAGCACATTTAGCATATGATACAGTGGTCATATAAAAATCATCTGATATGTTCCACACATACAAACATGTCATATTTACCTGTTCTGTGCAATAGGCTTTGTACAGAGCAGCCCTGATCAGCCTCTTCTCAGGTCCCCTGCCAGCGCTCCTGGCCACGCCCCTCCCCCTGCTGAGTGCCCCCAGATCAAGTGCCTGCTCACTCCTGAGCCACCTCTGTGTGTCTATGAGACACACAAAGTGCAGCTAGGCCCCACCCCCCCCACTCCCTCCGTAGAGGCTGTGGTTGACAGCAGTGGGAGCCAATAGCTCCCGCTGCTGTGCCTCAGCCAATTTAGGAGGGAGAGACCCAGGAGAACCCCTGCACAACGCTGGATTGTGATTGAGCTCACGTAAGTATTAGGGAGACTGAGGGGGGAGCTTCACACAGAAAGTTTTTTTTTTTTTACCTTCATGCATAGAATAAAATAATAAAAACCTTCAGCCTTTACAACCACTTTAACAATATGGTTCTCTTTGATTACAGTAATTGTAAAGGCTTCCATTTTTTAAAAATAATAAACATGTTATACTTACCCTGATCCTACTCTTCTGGGGTCCCCTTCTGGAATGCTCAGCTCCTCCTCTTCTTGGTGCACCTTCATAGAAAGCCGCTTCCTCACTCCCAAGCCAGGCTTTGTGCATCCATTGACACACACATTATTTGATTGACAGCAACAGGAGCCAATGGCTCTTGCTTCTCTCATTCAGTCCTGAGAGGAGAGGAAGAGAGAGCAGTACTGCTACACTGGGGCAAAGCGCTGGATCTAGATAGGACTCAGGTAAGTACAAAGCGAGATGAGGGGGCAACACAGTTACCTTACCTTAAACTTATCTTAAGGACCAGTTCACACTACATGCGTTTCAGTTGCTTTTTTGTTCTGCATCCAAAACACACAGAAAGTTGGTTCTATGGTTGTCAATGTCATAGTTCCCATCAGTGTGTTCAGGTTGCAGAAAAAAAAATAGAACAGGCTGCAATTTTTCTGTAGAGAACTGTACTGGAACGCAGTAAAACCCATAAAAAACACACTGGAACGCACCAAAACGCTCTGGAATGTAAATGTCCCTATTTAAATTGAAGAAAAAGAGAAGGGAAAAAGCATTAACCAGAAGCATAAAAAAACGCACCGGAAAGCATGAAAAAAACACATCAAAACACGCATGCAGGAACGCATTCAGAATGCATCTATGGTGTGAACCAGTCTCGCCTTTAGAAACACTTTAGAAACACTTTAAACCCTCTAAATAAAAAACAACCTATCTACTGATGTATCAATCAACTTGTGCAAGACTTGTGCATGACCAGCCAGTCGGGTTTTTCCTGTGCGATCAGTGCCACCTATAGCAACAACACTGAGCATTATATTCTGCCATTGGGGAAGACAGAATAGCAGTGGGAGGATTCCCCCATCCACAACCCACTGGTTGAAAGAAAAAAAAAATTACAGTATCTCACAGAATTCTTTTTTTCAGATCCTCTTTTAGATGCTTTAGAATTCTTGGAAACTGAGCAAAAGCTTGTCACAGTGAATTTTTTGTAAATAGACTCTTAGTCCATGTTGAACAAATGATTCTGCTGCTGTCACCACTTTACTTGCAGCAAAGTCATCCAGGCAAAGCACACCACTTCCCCTAATGATTGCTTTCTCACTGGCCCAGGACACTGTCATTTCACCCACTAGTAAGTGAACAGTGAAAGAGTGGCATGTTGTTGATGGAGGAAGCAAGCAGCAGAACTGCTCATCTGACATTGGCCATATGGTTTGTAAAACGGACATGACAATTTCGAATTATCTCTGTGGATGAATGTTGCTTCCATTGTATAGAAACATTGGGGTCTATCTATGTCTGTGTTAGCCACTGATTTGTCTGGATGACAATAGTTTTAATTCAGGGCTTTTTTTCTCAGAAGAGTTGGTGCAAGAACTCCCCCCTTCTGAGTCACACTGTGTGTCCACCGCCTACCACCTCTGAGCACTATTCGTTGGTTCCATCCCCTATCCCTGTCCAGTACAGGTCTTTTTAGAGAATACAGAACCAAGCATCATTTTGTGATGCTAATTCATTTGTATTGAATTTGCTACTGATAACAAGAAAGGCAGTAAAATAGATCCCCAATGAACAATGAACTTCCAACAGCCAGCATCAATAGATCCTCCAGAAGCCAGCAACAATAGACCTCTTCTTCAACAGTAGATCCCTCCCAGCAATGTCTGACCCCCCCCCCCCCCCCAGCAACATAAAACCCACGCCCAGGAACAATAGATCCACAAGCAGCAATTTGCCTCCCCAGTAACAATAGACCCCCTGGCAAAGACCCTCCAGTACCCCTTGTGATTATATATATAAGTGCTAAAGGTGCTACAACTGCATTCCCCACACATTCCAGCTAAAAAAAAGCCCTGATTTTAATCCATAGGGATGAATGAGGACCATCAGGTCTGTAGCAAAGGGTAGAAGAGTGAGCTGCATCCAGAACTGCAGGTGTTTCTCTCTCCTATGCCCTCTAGTGGATGCTATGTGGGATCAGCTGAAGAATTCACTTCTGCTAGGTTCACACCTTTCTCTTTCCATACATCTTTAGAGCATTTTCGGTGAGCATTAATGAGCATTTTGCATTTTTTTTGCACTTCTGCATGGCACTTTATTATTTATAATAGTTTTCCAGTACAAATAAAATTTTTAAGGAAATTGAACAGGCATAATGTTAAAGTGTTACTAAACCCACATCAGTAAAATCAGTCTGTATATGCAGTAAAGCATACTTGTTATGCTCACTGTGGAATTTAAGGGGTTAATCCTTTGCATTGTGTAAAAAGGATGTTTAATCCTGTCTTCTCTGATTCTCCCCTTCTTCCACTGTCTCCATTTCCTGATAGAACAGATCCTTAGGGGCAAGCGGCACATGCTCAGTTTGGAGTGTATTGCTAAAGAGTTTTTTTTGGGGGAGGGATGGTGCATGTGATCAGCGCAAGGCCAATTAGCACCATCCAGACCGGGGGCTGACTGACAACTCATGGGGCCCCCGGGCAATAGGGGATCATGGGACCCCTGTGTCCTCGCCCATGCTCAAACCACACCCAAAAAGCCTATGAAAGGTACCAGGAGCATCTCATGGGGCCCCCTACTGACCCCAGGCCCTCGGGCAGTGCCCGAGTTCCCCAATGGTCAGTCCGCCCCTGATCCAGACAGAGGTTCAGGGGCTCTGCAGTCAGAGAAGAATGAAAACTCCTCCTACAAGCTTTAATCTGTGCTCTGCTGGACACAGATAGAAGTAACAAAACTGATATCTACTGGTGATGAGAAAAGGTATTTAGCATGTGACGGAAGCATAGGCAGGACAGAACACTCAAAGAAGATAGGGAACACACAAAGCTTTATTGAACTATGAAAGATACTCAATCAGGACAGTTCAAGGCACTCCGCGACATGCAGCTTGTAGGCACACCCACGGTAAGCGGGCTCACGGGGACTTAGAGGGACTTGGGCTGTGGAGTCTGGCCTTAACACAGCCTGCTAGGGATGACATCAGGCTCACGGGGACTCAACGGGACCTTAGCTGTGTAGTCTGGCCTCAGCACAGCTCCCACCCAGCTTTCTAGGGACATCAGGTCTCACAGGGACTCAACGGGACTTGGGCTGTGGAGTCTGGCCTCAACACAGCGTGCTAGGGACGACATCAGGCTCACGGGGACTCAACGGGACTTGAGCTGTGGAGTTTGGCCTCAGCACAGCTCCCACCCAGCTTTCTAGGGACATCAGGCTCACGGGGACTCAGCAGGTAGCGATGGCTCAAGCACTCAGGGGTATCACAGGTAGCTATACTCTGGGCACGCCATGGGGCAGTTTCAAGTAAGGGTAGTCTGGGCGTGCAATAGGGGGGGCAGTTTATGACACGGGTGGTCTGTGCGCGCACAATAGGGGCAGTTCATGACACGGGTGGTCTGTGCGCACAACGGGGACAGTTCAGGACACGGGTGGTCTGTGTGCACAACAGGACAGTTCAGGACACGGGTGGTCTGTGTGCGCACAATAAGGAGAGTTCATGACATGGGTGGTCTGTGCACAATGGGGACAGTTCAGGACACGGATGGTCTGTGCGAACAACAGGGACAGTTCAGGACATGGGTGGTCTGTGCACACAGTAGGAACAGTTCAGGACACAGGTGGTCTGTGCGCAAGATAGGGACAGTTCATGACATGGGTGGTGTGTGCACACAATGGGGACAGTTAAGGACACGGGTGGTCTGTGCGCACAATAGGGACAGTTCATGCCACGGGTGGTCTGTGCACACAATAGGGACAGTTCAGGGCACGGGTGGTCTGTACGCACAACAGGGACAGTTCAGGACACGGGTAGTCTGTGCACACACTAGGGGCAGTTCATGGCTTCTAGGGACACTCACGGTAGTGTCTTGCAGATGCTCAGCAGCACGCGGCTACAGGGGGGTGTAGGCGACTTGTGGACGCTCAGCAGCAGGCGGCTTCCAGGGAGGTAGGCGACTTACGGATGCTCGGCAGCAGGCAGCTTCCAGGGATCCAGCAATCAGCAGACAGGGCGGCTTCCCAGGGACCCTCAGCAACGGATGGCGTCGCCCTCACAGCGGCCAGCAGCGATTAGCAGGCAGGGGCCCTCATAGCGGCCAGCTTCTCCAGGGGCCCAGCAACCAGCAGGCATGGGCCCTCACAGCGGCCAGCTTTTCCAGGGGCCCAGCGATCAGCGGGCATGGGCCCTCACAGTGGCCAGCTTCTCCAGGGGCCCAGCGATCAGCAGGCAGGGGCCCTCACAGCGGCCAGCTTCTCCAGGGGCCGAGGAGAGCAGCCGGACAGCGCAGGAGGAAGGGAGAGAGAGAGAGAGAGAGCGAGCCTGGTCTCGCACCGGCCTTTTATAAGCCGAGCGGGACGCTTCCGGGTTGCCCCGGCAATGGCCAGCCCAGCGCTGCATTGCCGGGGCAACGAGGCACACCCCCTCACTCCGGCCACGCGCAGAGAGTGCGGCCTTTGTCTCCGGTGGGGTGCCAAGCGCGGGAAGCCCTGCGCCCGCCGGGGGCATGCAGAGACCTCGAAGCGGGAAGCCCTGCCCCCCGTCGGTATTTCCTGGTGGAGGGAGGGAGTCACAGCTCTTCCGGCTGAATTGCCGGGTGAGCTGTGACCCTTGCTGCAGCGGTCCCCTTCCCTCATCCCGCACAGCCTGCTTCAAGGCTGTGTGCGGCGAGGGGGGGGGGTAGGTGGCACACGTAACATAGCAGTTTTATATTTACTAAAATAATTGCAGTTCCATGTTCTGTGTACTGGAGGAGATCAGATATAGTGAATGCAGAGTCTTGGGTTTAGTAACACTTTAAAACGCATAACATACATTGCATTAAAATGCAAATGTGTGAACTGGCCCTTAGGTTGGTAACAATTATTTTTATTTTTTTTTAAGTCCGCGAACGTGCAAAAAAACAAAAAACCCAAAAGTGTACAAAAAACCGTGCAAGTGGAAAACACAAACACAAAAAAATGCACTTAGGGGTGTGCTTTGTTCACCCCCCCGAAGGGGTTGGATCTCTACCTTGATCCCCCGGGGCACGAAGCTCTTGACAGGGTCAAGGTTCCCATATGGTCCACCTAGCCAAAAGGCCTGGTGGACCCCGTTCCTTGTGGCCAGCCACAAATTACTTGGTAAGGGGGCTCTCCCGAAGAGAAAAACCCCTAGGGACAGGGGAGGAAGGAACCAAAAGGCCACACATCCTCCCCCTAGACTTCAGGGTAGGCCCGAGGACCCACACCCTACAAACCGTGAGAAGAAAACACACACAAAAGTGAAAAGTGACAAACGTGGGAAGAAAAATAAATTAAATAAATAGATAAAAAATAAAAAAGTGGCTATGCAATTGTGAGGCCCGTAGGAAAAAAATTGCCCTGGACTTAGCCAAAAGGCCTAGCCCTAAAAGGTGCAGTGCAGGAAAAGTGTTTGAAACAGTGACCATGTGCACATTTCACACATTGGGGTCCCACACCCAAGTGTTACTAAGAGAACCCCTGAGGCGACCACTCTCAGGGGGCACTGGTTCGTGGACTTTCTGCCTCCCCGGCCCCTGGCCAGACAAGGTAGATCCATTCAAACCAGGAGGAACTGGGGCCCTCCGGTTTTCCAGGGGGAATTACTCCCGGGCCCCAGCAGCCTGTGGGCGCCTTGGTTTCTGTTCCAGCCTGTACTAACCATCAGGACCCCCATCCTAGCAGCAGGAGTACTATACAACCAATCAACCAATCATTGGTGCTCCACCAATGATGGTGGAGCACCCCTACTGGACACTGATAAGAACAGATACTACACTTGATCTTAGCCAAAACAATGATAGTTTGCCTAAAAAAGTCTACCTCTGGATTTCGTATCACTTTCAATAGGTTCTTTGGGCCAGGCAATCCCAAACAAACTATTCCCTTTACTAAGTGATGCAGCCGGTCAGCACTGTATCATACTGTAGCAGCTACAGTAAAGAAAATAAGTATTTGATCCCTTGCTGATTTTGAATGTTTGCCCATCACAAAGAAATGATCAGTCTAAAAATTGAATGGTAGGTGTATTGTAACACTGAGAGACAGAAGAGCAACAAAAAATTCAAAAGAAATGCATGTCTAACAAATTATGCACTGATTTGCATGTTAATGCTGGAAATAAGTATTTGATCTCCTATAATTCAGCAGGATTTCTGGCTACCAGGTGTCTTTCATACAGGTAACAAGCTGAGATTAGAATCAGTCTCTTAAAGAGAGTGCTGCTAATCTCATTGTGTTACCTGTATAAAAAACACCTGTCCACAGGAGCAATCAAACAATCAGATTCCAAACTCTATGCCATGACAAAGACCAAAGAGCTGTCCAAGGATGTCAAGGACAAGATTGTAGACCTACACAAGGCTGGACTGGGCTACCAAACTATCGCCAAGCAGCTTGGTGAGAAGGTGACAGCAGTTGGTGCAATCATTCACAAATGGAAGAAACACAAAACAAAATCAGCAGGGGGTCAAATACTTCTTTTCTTCACTGTACATACAATATGCTGTGCTGTGTTTCGGCTACATCTCATGAAACCTCCCTTCTGCTACAAACAAAATCAAGTCAGGCTGAGTGCTTCTGAGTCCTTCATAGGAAGCCTTGTATTTATACCAATGAATGCAAGGTTTCCTCTGGTTGGCTGAGGTGGAAAGGCAGGTGAATAACATCACAATCTCCACATCAGCCAATCAGAGGTAGCCTTATATTCCTTGATAAAACCACAAGGCTTCTTATGAATGGCTGAGAAGCACCTAGCCCAACTTGATGGATGGGAAGTCCCCATACTGGTGCTGGAACATAGCATTGCATACTGTATTACACAGTACTGACAGCGGCTGCATCACATAATAAAGAAAACAAACTATTTAAAGTGATACCAAAGCTAGAGTTTGTCTTTAAGAGTCATGTCACACTGGCAATGTTGTAGCAGTGACGAATCACTGCTAAAAATGACCAAAACTAGTGATTCACAGTGATTTGTAGCCAATGATGCTATAGACTCTGGCCATTTGTCACTAAGAAACTACTTTTGTCAAACAATGTGCTACATCATGACATTGGTGCTCGCTGCTGCATATTGCTCTCCTTCACCAATTTGTAGCTACGCTGTAGCAGAGAAATTGTCACAGACAATCCTGATGCTGACCTACAACACTGCGCAAACTACAAATTGCTGTAAAAGTAGCGAGTTAGTGATAACATAGAAAAAAAAGGGATCTCTGCTACAAAATCACCTGTGTGACATGGCACTCACTAAGGATGTCTCTGTTGTGCCAGTCGTGCAGAAGATCTTACTGCTGTGGTCCTGGATTGTAGTCCTAAAGTGATATTAATGTGTTACTAAACCCACAACAGTAAAATCAGTCTATATATTATTTATTTCAGTACTTATATAGTGCTGTCAATTTACACAGCACTTTATACATATATATTGTACATTCACATTGGTCCCTAACCCTCAAGGGGTGTACAATCTAAGGTCCCTAACTCACATTCATACATACACATACTAGGGCCAATTTATACAGGATCCAATTAACCTACCTGCATGTCTTTGGAGTGTGGGAGGAAACCAGAGTACCCAGAGGAAACCCACGCAGGCACAGGGA